AAAACTCCTCACACCTGTGACCTGGAGACCAAGCCTTATTGCAGTAGTTGCAGGGTTTACCAGAAGATGAGCCGGCCTTGTGGGGAACGTTTCTATTACCATAGAATTTATTAGGAGCGCTGGGACCAGGGGCATCACGACAATCGGCCGTCACATGCGTACGATTCTTTCCATGAATTTTGCAAAATAACTTCTTGTCACCCGCAGAATTCCCACCTACTGCTCTTCGTCCGGAATTCGCCCACTTACTATCAGCGGAGCTAGAACCTCCACCACGACCATAGTACTTGGCGGGGTTATCCCCCAAAACGTCACGAGCAATCTTCGACAACTTGTCGACGGTCCAAGTAGAATCCTTGTTAGAGTACCAAGCGATACGGGCCTCACGTTGGACTTCTTCGGTTAGTGAAACCATGAACCTTTGAGCAATCATCTCATTGTTCTTATCCAGATTCGCCTCAGATACCGTCTTGATAAATCTAGTTGTGTAACTCGAGATAGACTCATCCTTGTTCATTTCCATAGTGAAGACCTTGGCAGACGCATAACGATGATCGTCTTCAGTAACAAACTTTTCAATGAATGCCGCACGAGCAGATTTCCAAGAATCACATTTAAGTAAGGTTGACTCCACCCAGCTATCATGATCAAAATGGACAGAAAATCCAATGGTTCGACTCCATTCAGCCTCGATATCAGCACCAGCGAACATAATTTCTTTCTCAAACATCTTCAAAAAATGTTCAGTGTTTTCATAGACAATCTTTTCCTCGGGAAAAGGAAGCTTAGGAAGCATGGCCTTCGTTTGGAACTTCGGGACATCCTTGGTTGACATGATTCGATTTACATAATCGCGCTTAGGTTCGGCCACCTTAGAACCCTCTTCCTTCGATTCGCATTCCTTTAGTTGTTTCTTGAAAACATCCAATTGTTGTTGGAATGATACCATTCTTGCAGAGAGTTCACCGAGTCGGATAGGATCATCCAATTCCAGTACCTTCATGTATTCCCGAGAATACACTTCCAATCTTTCATTCAGTTTAGCAACACCTCGGTTCAATAAATCTTCCGTGGATTCCAAGACATGGTCTATATCCATGCTTGCTAAAGTACCTTCCAGATTACGTACACCTTCTTCCGAGTGAATTGGAGTACCAGCCGTAGGGGAACCACCAGTTGAGTTCTCCTTTTCCATAGGACCTTGGGTAGTGTTAGAGCCAGACATTGTTGAGTGATTAAAAGTAAAAAATGTAATAAATCAAGGGTAGTTTGATTTATAAAAAAGAAATAAAAAAACAAAAGAATACTTTTAAAACTCTTTTATTCAAAGTTAATATAAGTACGATCTCTTCATAATTGGGAAAAATATCAAAGGTATTTATACTAAATAATTGTATGATAAGGATAGCTATCATATTGGTTAAGAACATTATCTGTAGATATTGATTATTAGTGTTATGTCAAAGATAGTGGACCTGATTGATAGAGCTGATCTGGTTCCACCATATCCGTATCTACTATGGATATTTGTAATTGTGTAACCTAATTTCCTAATCCACTACACTATTAATTCTCTTCTCTTTGCCGATGATGTTGCCATTTTTGGAACAAAAGATGAAGTTGAAAAAATGCTGCAGATCGCTGGCGATCACTCTCTCAAACTTGGTTACAGATGGTCTCCTTCCAAATGTGCCATTTTAAACGCTCCTTCTCCTCGCTCCTCTCGAACTCCCAATTTTGCCTTTACTCTTTATGGTGAACCCATTCCCACTGTTGATCAGTTCTGTTACCTGGGTATGGAATTTACTAAAAAAGGTTTAAATGCCGGTAAAAGTATTGAAGCTCGATCCTCCAAAGCCAAAAAAACCATGTCTCTCCTTACCTCTGTCGGTGTACACCGTAATGGTTTTTCTCTCCTTCTCTCCGCACGCCTATACAAAACGTTCATTCGACCAAAAATTGAGTATGGGTTGGCTATTTCTTGTTTCACAGCCCGTGAAATGAGTAAATTAGACACCCTACAAAATTCACTTGTGTCAATGTTCGTAGGTAGTAAACATACAACAGTTGCTAAACACATCACTTGTCTCCCTGGTATGCTCCACCGCTATAACACCTTGGTTACTAAATACGTGCTACGCTCTGCCAACCTTCCAGAAGATTCCCTCCTCATCCTCCTCCAAGAATCTCTCTCCCAAACAAGACTTGGCAACAAATTAGAAACCAATGCTCTTTATACCTCTCTCCCTGATCCTATACCAACTTCTCCAATTCATCTCCGTAATCACTATCGTGATTATTGGCAGAATTTTTGTGACGATCAAAGAGCCCATCACGCCACTACTGGTAAAAATGTCCTCCTTCGCGCTTGTCGCCCATCCACCTCTGTTCCTGACCCCATCCTCTACCTCCCTATGAATAATTCCGCTCGTAGTCGTTTGGTAAGATGGCGTCTTGGTCGATTTACTGCCATGGAAAGAAACGAATGTCCTTGTGCTGACTTTGGTCAAATCATAACTCGTGATCATTTTCTCACTTGTCGTGCTATTGACGCCGACTTGATTGATTCTCTTCCTGTCTCTCCTCCTGGTGTTCACCGTATTGATTTTGCTCTGAATTCTTTACCCACCAAAAAAAAACACAAACCTCCCGCCTTTTGGCCGAAACTTTTATCCTTGCTCTGGATGATTGACACGCTGTGTCACCCATTATCAAACATTCCAGAAGATCCAGATCCTGGTTCTTCTTGGTTCAACTACCCTCGTTGAACACTAGTTGCTTGTTTTCTGTCGCGTCGTCACGGTGGTAAGTGATTATCAAAGTTCCCATCCGTTGATCGTTCCTTCAGATCAATCCAACTAGCTATTAAGCGTGTGCTACTTTACCCCGCCTTTTTCTTTTTTATATTTTCAATTGTTTGTCACACAAAATATTTTTTTCATGCAAAATTTCCACCCCGTACTCGAAAATTAGACATATATCTATGGATAGTCCATCAATTTTCTTTATTTTTTCACTTTTAGATAGCTAATCCCTCCCTCTATTATATTAAATAAAACAACAACGTTTTCATCTGAGCTACAACCCCCTCCCATTAATTCTCTCCTTTTTGCTGACGACGTTGCCATTTTTGGTACACGCTCTGAAGTCCAACAAATGCTTGATTTAGCCGCTCAACATTCTCTTCAACTAGGCTATCGATGGTCACCCTCAAAATGTGCCATTTTAAATGCTCCTTCTCTTCTCTCTTCCTCAGCCCCAAATTTTCGTTTTACTCTGTACAATCAAGATGTACCAACTGTTGATCAGTTTACGTATCTTGGTATGGAATTCAACAAAAAAGGTCTCTATGCTGCTGGTAATATTGAAAAACGCTCCGCTGGTGCCATTCAGACTATGGCTCTCCTTAACTCTGTTGGTGTCAACCGAAATGGTTTCTCTCTCCTTCTCTCTGCTCGACTTTACACCACCTTTATACGCCCCAAAATTGAATACGGTCTAGCAATCTCTCGTTTCACAGCCAGTGAAATGCAGAAATTGGATAGACTTCAAAACAAATTAGTGGGTATGTTTTTAGGCAGTCAACAAACCACCACCGCAAAACACATTACTTGCATCCCTGGCATGCTTCATCGATATAATGTTCTGGTTACAAAAAATGTGTTACGCATCGAAAACTTACCCGAAGATTCCTTACTCGTTCTCCTGCAAGAAACTCTTCAATCCTCAAGACTTGTTGATGTCCTTCACAACAACGCTCTTTACACCTCCCTTCCAGATCCTGTTTATGATTCACCAATTCTTCTTCGTAATCATTTCCGTAAACATTGGCAAGATTACTGTGATGCTCAAAGAATTATCCAAGCTCAAACAGGTAAACAAGTACTCTTACGTGCTTGTCGTCCAAGTACCACCAAACCTGATCCAATTTTGTATCTTCCAATGAATAATTCTGCTCGAAGTCGATTGGTCAGATGGCGATTAGGCCGCTTTACAGCCATGGAACGCCAAGAATGTCCTTGTGCAGACTTTGGTGCGCGACTGTCTCGTGATCATTTTTTGACATGTCGTGCAATCGAACCGGACCTTATTTCTTCCCTTCCTGTCTCTCCTCCCGGTGTAAACCGTATAGATTTTGCTTTATCTTCCCTGCCCACCAAAGCAAAATCTCGCCCTCCCCCTTTTTGGCCAGTCCTACTTACCGTATTATGGTTAATCGACACTTTGTGTCACCCTCTAAAAAACATTCCTGAGGATCCACATCCTGGACGCTCTTGGTTCAATTACCCTTGCTGAACGTTGTTTGCTTGTCTTCTGTTGCGACGTCACGGTGGTAAGTAATTATCAAAGTTCCCATCCGTTGACCGTTCCCTCAGATCAATCCAACCAATTATTAAGCTCGCGCTACTCTACCCCTTCTTTTCCTTTTTTTAATTTGACAGTTAGTTACACAAAATTATTTTTTTCATGCATCTCACCCCGTACTCGGAAATCGACATATATCTATGGATAGTCCACCTATTTCCATTATTTTTTGATATTTAGAATCCCCTTTATACCCTCTATCTTAATATCAATAAATAAAACCCCCATTGTTTTCACCTGAGCTACAACCCCCACCCTTCTTTCGCTTAAAGAATTTTTATATAATTTTTCTTTTGTGTAACCAATCTTTATTTTTCGAAATATCAAGCAATACTAGAACCGCCTCCAACTACGCATTAAATAACAAGCAAACTCGTCTGTTCATTTTAGTACAACTCCCAAAGCCCTCAGACAAAAACTCACCAAGTTCTGAAGACTTTTGTTTTCCGCCATTTCGACGATTTCACAAGACATTCCTACATCTGTGAACATCCTCTATTGCTTTCCTGTTCAAACTTCTTCTGAACCTACTCTTATTACAGTCAAACATTATACTGTAATTCAAGACACACATTAACTGTTGAACGCCTCCTTTTTGACACTATAAGGTCGTATTTATAATATTACCTACTATAATGTCAAATATTAACTCTTCTTCCCAGAAACGAGGCCCACCTACCTCCATTTCTGTTCTTCGCAAGGATATTACGAAGCCTTTGACTCGTAATGGAACGTTTAAGCATGTCGTCGCTGACCCCGAAGCAGATTTTCTTCATAAGAAGAAAATAGCTACTGCCACGGCTCGCCGCTTAGCTGGCTCTCCTGACTCACCTGATTCATCATCAATCACCTTTGTCTCTTCAGGTACCATCCCCAATGGTCAAAAACCTGCTTCTTCTCAAGCATCTTCTGCTGTTCCTTCTGCTACCATCACTGAACTCGATGATAGCTTAATCATGTCCTCTCTGGATTCGTCCCTCCCTCCCGTATCACCTAATATAGCTGGTGAAACATTAGCATTCAGCATCCCTGAATTTGCCCTGGATCTGCAGCAACAGCTCAGAAAACAAGCTCGTCGTTTGGATGAGTATGAAACTCGTCTCTCTGCAATTGATCAGATTTTACAAGAAAATCTTCAATTGAAGACCAACAATCATGTTCTTGAAAAAACCATTCGTGAACAAGGTGATACGATTGCAGCTTTAAAGGCTCAATTAACCGCCTCTCCCTATCGCCCCACTGACAACCGTATGCAGGTCGATTCTCAAGAAAGGGATTTATCCTCAAATGCTAGCATTTGGAGTAAAGCACCTCCCTCTTCTTCATCACCCAAGCCCACCACCACTGCCTCTACTAGACCCAACGTCAATAAAAATAAGCCTACCATGGCTGAAATTGTTGCACAAAAGGCTAGCAAGCCTGTCAAGCCCAAGCCTAAGGCCAAAAAACTCTCTGCCGAAGCTCTCGCCAAAGCTGCACGTCCCTT